GACACCGACACTACAAATCCAATCTAATTGGGTCACTTCCTGATCGAGGCTACAGATAATCAAACCAGTAAAGTATGAGTTAAAACCTAACAAATACTAATATTATTAATTAAATGTAGTACGCCATTATAATTTAGTGATACTTGTCTCTTTCTGTGTGTGTTTCAAAATATAAACAAAAATGCTTCACTTAAATCCATAATACTATCATCAGCCTATTCACACTGCCTCTTCTCACACGGAGAATGTTTAAGCATTAATCACCACGCTTACTCAAGGCGGACTGGCGATTTCAGAGTGATAAGGCCAGGTTTCCTCCCGATGTTTTTTTACCGCACGTCACTGGTGTCTTAAAAATCATAGATAGTTCTCGCCTACAGTCACATTGGTACTTGGAAGGTTTCGAACCCTCATACATGAGTAGCGGGCGCATCAACCTCCGGCGACCACGAAGTTAAATAAATCTATAATGGCGGTGTGATTTGGCAAGACGCAGGAGCTGTGAGCTAATCCTTACATCAACATAGCAGTATATGTGTGTGTATAGCGAATATGCATCCCTCTTTATAAGCAGCGCCCACTTTAATGCTCTACAGTTTCATAAAAAAGCTTTTGTTTAAGAAAAACTCAACTAGCGTTATTGTGTTTGCTTGAGTATATTATGCTCGGATATTAAATCCTACGTATCAGCAGTTTCTTCAAGGTAGGCATTCTATTCTATTCTTCACAACTTTACGTACGAGTGTTAGAATTGCGTCAAAAAATATTTAGAAACAATCAAAGTATATCATAAATGAACGTGCAGTATAGTTTAGTTAGCTTGATTTAAAAAAAAATACTCATAACACTCGTAAAGTATCGTGGCCGGAGTAGCAGTCAAGAGATTGTTCTCAAATAAATACTTATATATTGTTTTAATGTTTATACATTTAGGTATCGGCCGTGAACCGGCCATTATACTGAGTTATTGGCATTTTTATGACGTCAAAGTTTCTATAGTTTAATGTGAGAATAATACTCTCTGCTATTGCCACGTTTATTGCCCACTCTTTAGAAAATAGGTAAACAATATTTGATAACCTAAGAATAAAATAACGAAGTGTTCAATTAGATGTACTCTGCTTACTTTAAATCAGATAGGATTATTGTAGTCATTTTGTTAAGACGCCATCACTCCATGCCACTTCTGTTACTCTGAAATAAGATCTTACTGTGCATTTGCGTCACGCATCATATTTCACATTATTTCTATTCCTAAATATAGACTTACTTCGCGTAGTATCTATTTGTGATTTCTATACACATTTTTGCCCATGACATCACTTTTATTACGTACGAAATTAAACTTGGGAGCTCAATAGACAGGGCGCATGTATTTATAAATAGAAGCCTGCCTTCGTCAAGTTAATGTCAGTTAGCCTTGCCTCGCACCCTGCCGAGCGACAATTTCGCATTCTTGCATATTCATTGAACGCTATCGAGCAGCGGTGAAGCCTGCCGCCGCTTGTCAACCGGTGATTGATCACCACTTTTTGTAGCGTCGCTATCACTTGGGACATAGTACATGTAGTGTGGGACAGTATGTGAGAACTACCTCTTTTATAATTATCATACATATAATCTTCTCGAATTAATACGGATTTCTTATTATCTATGAAGACCGTTTCATTTGTTGGTCGACAATTGCTGTTTGTAAACTATGCTTAACATATTACGTATTGCATCTCCGTACGCAACGATACGTAGGTACATTTTATGAAATTAAAGTTCCTTACGATGTGTTGGCAACAAACATTTTAAGTGCCGTGGACTTAAGCTAAGCTCGAGTAAGTGGGACGTGTCCATAAAACAAACCGTGGCGTCGTCCACGCTGCCCCCCTGCCACATATTATATGGGACATTTGAGTATTGGCAATATGTCGGCGCGGGACGCGGGGCGCGGGGGATGGTTTATAGCGTGTGGAGTGTGGTATGGGACTCCATAAATTCCATAATATTGACGGTCTAAACTCTCGTGAACTTTACAGCAATAAACTTAAATGTTATCTCAACGTTCATAAAGAAACAGTTCCTATTTTTAGACTCGCCTGACTTCGCCTGTAATATTCCCTAATAGTGTTTACCTTTTCATTACGTGAAGCAACTAATTTTGACCAGACCTTTTTGGTTGCGTATCCTAATATATATGTAGATATGTCCACACATTTACATATGACAATCACTAAATTACAGGCAACCAGACCATTTTTTATGAAACATCATACTCTATACCTATCTTTCAGCATGTTTAAACAATGTGGGTAGATACGTAATCTGTATTGCATACTTCTAACAAAATCCCATTCTTTGATAAAAATCTGAGCACATTTAGTTTCTTTATCATGCAAAAGAAAAGGGCTTTTAAGGGTTCTATTTAGTAAGAGTACACGAGCACGAGTGTACGGCCGCCAGCCGCTAGCCGCGGCCATATTGTTATTTACATAAAGATAAGTATCACTACACAGGGTGCTCGCCAACCGGACAACTCAATAACGTGCTACTTTAATCGTCGTTAACTTTAATAACTAGTTGTTGACTATTAACTCTAAGCTTAGTGTTAAGATATACTTGTGTTCTTAGTTTTATTATGTCATATCCTTGTTTTACTACTGTAGTTATACTCAACTTGATACCTTCATTCACAGAATCCAACGATGTTTGCTGGAATACGTCACTCCAGCCTGCTACTCAGCATCTCAAGTCAAATTACAACTCGTTACTTCATTCATGAAATGTAATATAAAACTCGTTAGGTTTCCCCAATTTTTTTGTTTGCTGTAGAACAGACGTTAAGCTGAAAAGTACACACCATACTACAAGTACAGCAACCGTTTTATAATTCAGTTCCAAAATCAAATATTTCGGGCTGTATCCGCGGTCCTCGGCTCGAATATGCACCCTGTATATTACCAAATACTCGGCGCCCTATTATTTATGGTTTGACCGAAGATTTATGTTATAGGCCGAGTGGGCTCCTAACGAGTGGAATGCGAGGGCGGCCGGAGATAGGCACTGCATGCCGGCACGGTGGATGTACGTTCGGCTGCTTTATGGACTGTCCCTTATGACGTGTGATACGCTTGGTACGAGTATACGATTGACTTATTGCAAGAAAGTATGAGCCAGTTTATTTAGGTCGCAGTAAGATATAGATGTACCAAGTTATCAACATAGCAGCATTACCAGTAGGACACTGAAATAAAAAAAACTTACGCATTTTTTTGTTCAAGACAATAGATGTCGCTTCAATATTGACTCTTACCGTGGTTGTTTCCAGTATCATGCGCTACCTCCAGTGTTGCCACAGGCAATTTGACTTTACACTTTGTGACCTTTTTAAGACGGGCAGTGGGTAATGAAGTATGGCGACAGAAAGTGTACAAACTCGTAAAATCAACATTGTCGTCCGCGCGGTCCTTTACACAAGTTAAAACATTCACCCAATTACACAGCTCGTCTGTGAATACTAATCATTTCCACTTTACTTCATCAAATTATCTTTAATTATATCTTTGGTTATTTTAACTTTGAAAATTCCTACGCCTAGTCTAGTTTTGTGGCAGAAGAAACTAACTTGAACAGTTTAGTGCTGCGTGCACAGGAGGAGTTGGCGGCAAATATTTCATTTTGCTTTCATAAACTCGAGTTAGATTTTAATTTGTATGAGAGCTTTTCGTTTTCTTTAACCATTTCAACTTAATTAAATCGATTTTCTTTCTACAAAACTTATTCTACATTTTCATAATAAAAACAAGTCGAGGCGCGGCACGGTTTGTTTAGACTATTTTTACTTAAACAAACATAAAACAATGAAGAGCTCTAATCCTTTTGGAAACAAAGTCTCATTTACTGAAAAAAAGTTTCAAATATTTTTTGTGGAACTAGGTCGTAGCTATCATAACTGTGAAGGATTATAATGCACGGAGATACAGAAGTTTCACTTTTAGTAGTTGATTCGCACTTTCCATGCGCGCTTGGAACACTTTCGGTGTCGGTAATTTTTTCGAGCCGATTTGATTGCTTACCATCAATATATTATTTTCCATCTCAGTTACAACGAATCATCCAGTACAATAAGGATCTTACATAAATAGTCCCACATGTCAGGAGTTCCTTTGATTGTAAAAAAATATAAAATGCCCAATTTGGTTAGTGTCATACTTACAACATACCTATCGCCAGGTACTTAAATGACCAATAGCATAGTCTGTACACCAGACATAGACAATGTCGTAGAGCTATTGTATTCCATGTGTTTGTGTGCCGGCTATCTATCAGAGTTTTGCTGCAAAGTGCGCGATGGCGCGGTGGCGTGGAGGTGCCGCGCCAGAAATAATATCGCGTATTTTTGTATTCTGTTAGTTTTTCAACATCTGATTTATGTTCCCGCTAAGAGCTTCCCAGATGTGGTCAACAGTCATTTGTTAATGTTCCTCCAGTATACGCTCGTTGTGGATGGATGGCGGTGAGACTTCCGTGGGTGGCGGTCATGTGACTCGGTAATGCGGCGAAGTGTTGCATTCCTAAACATTCCTTACAATACACAATTTTTGTTTGTCTTGTCATGACTGAAGTCACCTTATGTCAACTATTTATAAACGGTAAGGATTAAGTAAAGTAATTTTTGGAACATTTTAACAAAACTCGTTTATTTCCTTCATAGTGTACATTGAGTAACAATTTAGATAGTTGTCTATAAATAAATAGATTGATAGAATAAAATGACTCCTGAGAATAAGCAGTTAAAGCGATTAGTAATCACTAAAATAAATAACTAGTCTCTTCTTACAACAACCGACTTATAACAGTTTCCTGTCTGTACAGTGGTAGCGAAGTAATCAGATTTGAGAGGAGTCATAAAATGTAATAAATAAAGCAACACTTTTTCACGAACGTAATTTTATTACAACTGTGACATTATGACAAGTTCACAAATATTTACACGATATGTACAATTTTTACACGTTAATTACACAGTATACAAACAGTAACCTTACAGTCGCTATGCGATAAAAAATTACATTTTAGTAAATTCATCGTTACAACCCTAGGCCGAACCGACTCCATACAATTTTGACTTTATACAGAAACAGAACAAGTTCATCACACACCCGACACACCACACACCTTACAACTAATATTTAAAACTTGAACCGGTACAAAACTGGACCCGTGGGCTGCTCGGCGGCCGAGAGACAGGGCTCAAGTCTCTGCGGCCGACGGCGTCCCGTCCGACAGTCTTACTACTCTAGTCGATGGACACGATCAGCGTGTCCTCCTCCAGCAGCGCGGCGGAGGGCTCGCGGCGGCGAGAGGCCCGCACTCAGAGCCGCGTGTGCGACAACCCATTCGGGGCTATCAGCGGCGCCAGCGTCGCCGGCCGCGCCTCCAGCGCCATTGCCTCGCTCGCCGCCACCGACTTGGACGTGAGCGCCGTTGAGGCCTCGGAGCGCGACCCGCCGGCGCCCCCGCCCACCGACAGCCCTCCCCGCGACTCCGCCGCCCGCAGCTGCGCACGCGCCGTACCACCTCCTCTCTTCCTTGGAATCACACTGTTCTCCACATGCAGAGTTGCATTCACATCTTTCCCAGCCGCACAAGTACAGGCCTTAAGAAAACTTTTCTTGAAGTTGTCAGACAGGAAGGCGTAAAGAATAGGGTTCATGGCCGAGTTACTGTAACTAAAGCACGCAGCCACGAGAAAAACGGTAATGGTGATCTGACTGGCGCATTCGTTAGGTGGAGAGTAAATGAGAGCTACCTGGAACGCCCAGTACGGCAGCCAGCAGAGCACGTACACAGCAATCACGGTCAGTACTAGTTTGGTCACTTTTCTGTGTGATCGCTTTTTCTCTTTAGATTTGTTCTTTGGGCCGACAGTCTTCAGTTTGCGTATGACGAGGCAATAAAACACGAAGATAAGGGTGAGTGGTGCGGCGAAACCGAGCGCGAACGAATATAGAGTGAACGAAGTCTGACCTTTGTTGAACTCCCGCTCCGGCCACACGATGTTGCACGAGAGACCATTGTCTGTTGGTATGAGTGTCGTGTACATAAATATAGGCGTCATCACCAAAGCTGATGCTGTCCATGCTGCAGCTGACACGACTCTGGAGACGAATGGCGTTCGCAGTCGCGGCGCGGCTATCGGGTGGCACACGGCTATGTAACGATCCGCACTCATTATGCACAAGAATATAGAGCTAGTGAACTGGTTGATCCCGGTGGATATCATGTAGGCCTTGCACATGAAACGTCCAAACGGCCACGCTCGGAGAGACATCGTAGTAATCAGGAATGGTATGCCGATGAGGAAGCATTCGTCAGCGATGGCAAGGTTCACGATGTACATGTTGGTGACGGTCTGCATCTTGGAGTAGCGCAGCACGACGTAGATGACGAGGGTGTTGCCGAGCAGCCCCACCACGCAGACCAGGGCGTACAGCACCTGCGTCACCACGTACACCACGGGCAGGTTGATGTGTGGGCAGTTCTCGAACGTTGCGTTGTACGTGCCGTTCTCGTCGTACGAGAAGCTGCCGTTTCTAAACATTTCCACGTCTTCCAGCTCCATTGTGACGGATACAGAAGTTGAGGCTCGTATGGGGATATTTACCTAAAACCAATACAAGTATATTATTACTCATGTACTGGCCACAGTGAGAGCTCACCAATAACTAAAAAAATATTGGAAGTAATGCGGCGGAGTCTGCGCTGTGATCAGGTTACTGGTGGCGTGTTCTGATAACGATATTGGTAAATACGTCGTACGTACTACACAGATAAAAAAGCAACATGTTCATTTCATACTAAACTTGTAATTAACCTTTCGCAGTGCACTATAGCAGCACACTGTAGGTTATCGCTTAAATTAAATAATTCACACTAAATCGCTAATTTCATATGAAATATTTAATTTAAGCGACACATGATATTACAAGATATAACTTATCTTAAAAATAATTCATGTTTGACCTACAGTTTAAAAACAATGGAGCCTAGAAGTAGCCATAATCAGGGGTAGCAAACTATAGGGGACAGTCACATAGTTTGTTTAGCCCACCAATGACCAAGACGCGTCAGCAACTACTGACAGTTGCAAGACGCCGCGGTCACGTGGCGAGTGACTGTTGTTAGATCGCTCACACAGCTCCGCTCACAGCTCGCAGTGATTGACGTTGTTGTATGATTACATTCCACTGAAATACTACTAGCATGCCATACTGAAATATTAGTATCCACGGAATGGAATGGGCGTGGGTTACACTGCGCAGTACTACTAAACTATTGCGAAATTATTACATTTATTTAGTTTAGTATGGTGCTCTGTTTTGGTTTTGCTTTTAATTATAAAATAAAAGAAATCGTTTAATAAAGAGCTACTTACATTTTGTGTCAGCAAACAATTACTGGGAGAGCTATCAACGTGGCGCCAGAGTTCTGTAACAAGAAACAATAGGAAACATCAAAACCACAGTTTCACATGTAAATATAGTATTTTATACTTATTTTCCTTAGAAAAGTTCGCATATACTAGCTGAGAAAAAGTTTGTGTCGAGAACATTCTATAACAATAAACTGATTACAGAACAATGTTTGTTCCTGTTGGAGAAACATCTCACTAGAATAATGGCGTGTTAAGAATCCATAAATATCTTAGTCATAACATCGTTTACAACCGTCTATAGAATACACCCGGGGGAAACCGCAGTAGGGCTACTCAGAACGAATCATGATCTTGGTGAAAGAAATTTCTATTTACAAATGCTTCTTCATGATTATCAGGTACATATATCTCGCTTCTCGGTTAACTTCTTCAAAGTGAAACATTCTTTAACTATGGGGTAAACATTAAAGTAACTACTTATTTTAGTTATGTACGTAATGATTTATTGTATAATACTCTCATATTCATTGTCACTTATTATCTTTATAATGTACCATATGATTTAACTAAAGTAACATTCAACCTCTTATCTTATTCCTAAGAAATAGGTCTCAGTGCTTTACATTAACAATTCTGTGAAAAATGAGACGGTAGTATTTACATCAACAATTCGCGTTATTTGATTGTTGCGTTGTTTCTGTTATGATTGCTATAGTTTATCTTTTGTTTAACATTTTTTCTATTTTTTCTTCGAAGGAAAATAGATCACCAACATTAATGTTAAAACCCACCTCATATACACACAAACACCTATCTACTAACCCAACTAACAACTTATTTTTTTTTTATTTATCTAATTCTTAACTTTTTTGTTTATTTTTTTCTCTTATATACAATGTGATGTAAATTAAGTAATTTAATATTATTTTATAAGCTAGTAATAACCCTCTTTGCAACGCCTGAAAAAGGCCGTTAAGCTGTGCCTGCTATTTTAATTTAAGATCCTTGTACCCACCTTAACATGCAAATAAAGAATTTGAATTTGAATTTGAATTTATATACGTAATTTTTTGTAATGTATGTTTTTGTTTTTATCACTATAAATTGAACCCCCACAATCTGTCTTATTGGTAAACTATGAAAGGTATATGTTGGTAACAAATGGTGTAACGACATGAACAGCCGAATATAAATAGTTATTTTGAACCTTCTGTCCGTCGCTCGCTCAGTGCACGTGCTACGTTGGTTCCGAGAATATTCCTGTTGGTTTCAACTTCAGCCGCAGCCTGTGAAGTCGTCGCGTCGACTATCTGTCAAACGCATGTGTTTGCTCAAATGTGATTAATGCGAGGAAAATATTATATCTAGTTTGCAATTAAATCTAGTCTGTCTGTTTACCTTTACAGACAACGTGCTATTTGTCTTGGCTCGCCGCTTTAAAACTGTTGTAAAATATTTTCGATTGATATTTATATTTATGATAATTGTTCGGTTTGCCTTCAGATCCATCGTATTATGACGTCTATGCCGTTTGGACCAGTGCTTGGTAATCTAAGATTTCGTCGGATTTATGACATTACAGAGCAAGCGTTTCAACCAAAAACGAAATAGCTGTATAACAGTAATGAAACTGTGATCAGCATACAAGTAAGCAAAACAAATAGAAATCAATCAGTGAGTCATGGCGGACAGTAATTGATTCTGACTGACCCGCGGTTAATAACAGATTCCTTACGAACGTAGCAGGAAAACTGGTTTATGTCTCGCATCCCTCGTAATAAAATATAATAATACAAATATCCGGGCACACACACACACACACACACATACCTATGAGCTAGGTCTTCAACGGAAGGGCTCTCACAACTAGCTCTGCTGGACTGAGAAAACCTAGTCATAATAAGATGTGTACTTAATTAAGTTTTGTATGTGTATATTAGCTATCAGTACCAAACTACATTAAAATCGGTTCATTACTCTCCATGGATTTGTACTTGAAAGTATATAAGGAAAACTGCGCAGCTAATTCCCTCTTAACACTCGAAAGAAATAACATCCATTATGTTACATTTACTTTACAATGAAATATTTCAGTGAATTTTTCTTTAACATTATTTTCACTAGAGGACAAACCGACAGAGTGACACACATTAAGTTAAATTTTTGATATATATATTTTTTTTGTTTGACGCTCAAATGTGCCTTTTGTTAGGTAATCTATTTGAAATAAATGTTTGAATTTGACTTTTACTAACTCATATTCACGTAAGTCTAGGCCCGGACCACCGCGTCGCTTTCTGTGTAGTACAGGGTGTTGCTAAACACTCTATACAGGGTGAAGGATACTAGAGACTGCCGGCATCACAAAAATATTACATTTAAAGTTACGACCTTTCGCCGCTATCCTGTTTAATAGCCTCCGGCCATACAATATGTTGTTGAAGGTTTGGGGAACTCGCTAAATTAAGCCATCAAACTACTATAAACATACTTTTTCTGTGCCGACGGTCGCTTTCAATACATAACTCTAGTTTTCCACACACATTTTCTACTAGACTTTAATATTTCCGATGAATGAGCTTTTTATATAAATTGTAATAACTTATTAAGTCTTTTAAAAATATATTTTTTCTGATATTGAAAGCCTAAGGTATAACCATTGGTTTACATCTGTCGATATGAAAACAGAAAATTTAATTTGTATATCAATAGAAAAGCGACTGCTTGATTCTTTAGATGAAAAAAAAATTGGGGAAAATTGTTGTCAAAGGACGGGCAATGTTGTTAGTTATTATTGTTTAAGTTGAAGATATAAAATAAAAAGCTGAGTTCTCTTAAATTTTTATATACCAACCGTTATTATAAAATGAAAAATTATCGTAAACCCCTTGATACACAATGTAATGCCTCTTCAAACAAATGCGAGTCAGATTCGACCATGAAATGTTCCGTAGCAGCAAGTAACATAATATAATGTACTTTGTTGTGGCCTTAATACGGTAGTTTCCAACTAGTCAAATTCAATACTTTTATTCAAATGTAAAAAACTTATGAAATTTATTAAATATTCGAAGTGTGGGAGAAGCAAGCTTCGGCACAAATGGGTCGGCTCGACCGGAGTGATACCACGGCCTCACAGAAAACCGGCGTGAAACAACCACAGCGTTGTGTTTCGCCGTATGAGTGAGGTTACCGGCGGCCCAATCCTTCCCCGCCCCCAATCCCTCCTCAATCCCTAATCCCTAAAAGATCGGCAACGCACTCGTAAATCCTCCGTTGCGGGTGTCCATAGGCGGCGCTGATTGCTTACCATCAGGTAATCCGTCTCCTCGTTTGCCGACCAATTACATAAACAAAAATGAAATTTGTATGAAAAACTGAGTAATGACGTAATAGTATTTTTGCGTCAAATAGCTTACTTATTTTTTAATAATTTGCTACAAAATATCTAAAACTTATTGTATCGATCGATCGATGAATAAAAGTATAGTTCTTTATTTTTCTTTATTTTATTGTATTGATAAGTCTTTTTGTCCTAGGAGACTACCCAATTGACAATTTAATCATTAAATGTTATTTTTCATACATAAGTTGATTAAATGACTATTGCGGTTTATGATTTATGGCGTATCAAACAAATTAGTCACTAGTTTTCGTTCAAAAAGTAAGAGTTATCGTCGTAATGTACATGTACGTGCATGATGTCTCCCATAATATAAGCAGCATTTATCTCACAGAATATTCAGTAAATAATATATTAAAATAGTTGCATCAGTATAGTTCTTATAGTTTCGGACGAAAGTGGCTGCGACATTTGAATGAATGCAGACAATAAAAAATAAAACAAAAGCATTCCGGTTTTCGTCATTTAATAACGAAGTCTTTGAACAAATGCTAATTTAGGTATCATTTAAGCCCTAATTTTGCATTCATTTTGAACATTAATTACTGGCAGATACCATTTTACCAATGAATATCCCCGAAACCCAGATTAAACGTATCTTTCATCAGTACTAGACGGATGTTTCAGTGCTAGCATGATGTTGCAGTGCGCCGGCGCATACAAAGTCAACAATACAAGTACCATACAATAAATATCTACACAGACAAACAGACATACTGACAGACATATCCCTAAGTGTATCAGTAATGCAATATTTTGACCCGAATCTACAGCTGTGGGATTTCAATAGATCAAAGCATCGGAAACGCGAGAATCAATTATTTAAACAATGTTTTACAGCGGATGTGCGCCTGCGTCGCCGCGGCGCTATAAAATGTAATCGTAAAACATTTACCTAAATACTAAAAAAAAAACATTCGCATTATTTTTATAAAGAACAGTTTCTATGATTTTCGGATGAGCTGGACTGGACTTTTCTAACCAATGAAGATATTATGAAGAAATTGTCTCATTTATAAACTAACATTTCTCACATTTCAATAAAACGAAAAGAGAAAATTAGTATAGGGTTATATACTGAAAAAAAATATTACATGTCGCAACTTTTACAATTTGTGTAGCTGTTTATTTGCAATGGCGATTTGATTCCAGTGCGGTTCACAGTTCTAAACTTAAACTAACATTACCAACACGGTTTTCATGAAAATCACTTTACCCTTCAACTTACAGCCTGAGTGAGAAATTTAGTCATTCAATCAAACGACTAGACATTCGGGCTGTTGGTCGGATGGCTAATTCAACTATTTGGCTGCGATAAATATACTATGGACTCATTTAACCCTTTTTGTATTGTACTTTCATAACGTTATTGGATCATTTGTCTCTGTCTCTGCTAAAATATCAATCCCGCGATATTTTAAAACATATAAAACGCACACAAATGCTGCGCGCACGCATAATGCGCGTGTTTGCGCAGCTGCGCTGCCAATAAAATTGATTTGTGCGCAAATTTGCTTTCACTATCAATCTGATTTATTTAAGATTTGCAGCCGTGGGCAGGCGACTCGTGAGATGTATTATGTTTTGTAATTTCTTGTGTTTTCAAATAGTTTCTATATAGCTAAGAATTGTGTTGTACACTCATAGTAT